CTCTTCGGCTTATGGTACCTCCTTTATAGATAATCTATTTCTGTCTATGTTATAATTTTGCTAGGTTTTAGTTTAAGATCAATAAATTCGTTTAATATTCTCGTAAAATCGTTTACTTCATGAGAGGTTTTTATCGATCCGTTCTTATTATTGCTTACGTCTTGCAGGTCACTTATGTCGTCAGTGAATATGTGTGTCGGAAAAGAGGAAACCGATTCGTGTTCGTGATCGCAATCCGAATCGTGACCTTCTGGATCTTTCAAGAAGTCTGGTAATATGTTTATATGGTAATATATTGGTGACTGGAAAATCCATTAAACCATCTAAGTTAACGACCAGTTCATTTCCTGCTTTTATATTTGTCTCACTGAACTTTAACACAAGTATGTAGCTTCTTGAAAAAGAAATCGGATTCATAAGGGATAGTCTAAGGAATTAAATTTGTATGTGCTAGAATTTCGTTTATCAATTTGTTTAGGAAAGGATACTCTTTTGCGAGAGTGAACATTGTTTCTAACGTGACATCAACGCATGCTCTATTACTTTAAAAAAAATGGACTTCTAACAAAGCGGTTGTAGCTATGGGAAAATCATCGGTTACAACGACAAACGTTACTCCACGAATTAAAGGTGCATTTTGTACGTTTATATAGTGGTCGCGTGATAAAGCAGAGATTTTTATAATACGAGGTGTGTTCAAAAAATACCCGGAATTTTTAAATTTCACGGGTCTGGAGAGTCCGATTATCAAAAATTTTTTTTATTGTGTTGGTATACATGCCCCTGAAGTATGATAAAATTTTCAGCTATATTCACTGTTTACTTTGTCTGCAGTAGTCGCTAAGGTTTGACGTGTTTTTATGAGCTCGGCGATTTTCGTTTTTTAAAAGAAACGGATTAAAGAATTTGTATTAAATTTTGCGTAAAAAATGAAATAAAGTGTAACAAAGTGTGTGAAATATTACAAAAAACCTATGGTAAGTCTGCTATGAAAAAAATAAGTGTTTACGAGTGGTATAAGAGTTTCCAAGATGGCCGCGAAGACGTTGAAGATGACGAACGCTCCGGTCGACCCAGCACGTCAACAATCGATGAAAATGTGAAAAAAGTGGTAAAAATGGTTCTGAATGATCGCCGAATCACAATTAGAGAAGTTGCTGATGAAGTTGGCATATCAATCATAACATTTTTTCAAATGTTTTGGGCATGAAACGGGTGGCAGCCAAATTCATTCCAAAACTGCTGAACTTTGACCAAAAAAACAATCGCATGAACATCGCTCAGGTGCTGTTAAACGACGTCAACGACGATCCAAGTTTGCTTGAAAGGGTCATAACTGGTGATGAAACATGGGTGTATGGTTATGATGTCAAAACCAAAAAAAAAGCACAATCGTCCACCTGGAAGCATTCAACGTCACCAAGAGCGAAAAAAGCACGTCAAGTTCGATCAAATCAAGGTTTTGCTTACAGTTTTCTTTGACTGCAGGGCCGTGGTGCAACATGAGCTCTTATCACAAGGTCGTACGGTTAATAAGGAGTATTACCTTGAAGGTATGCGACGTTTGCGTGAAGCAATCCGAAAAAACGCCCCGATTTATGGAAAAACAATTCATGGCTTTTGCATCACGATAACGCACCTGCTCACTCGTCGTTGCTTGTTCGTAATTTTTTGGCCAAAAACAATACCGTAGTCGTGCCTCAACCTCCATATTCACCAGATATAGCTCCGTGTGACTTTTTCCTGTTCCCAAAGTTGAAGAGACCCATGAAAGGACGGCGTTTTTCCTCGATTGAAGAAATAAAGGCCGAATCTCTGAGAGTGCCCAAGGACATACCAAAAAGTGAATATCAAGAGTGCTTCGAAGATTGGAAAAAACGCTGGTATAAGTGTATTTTATTTGGGGGGAATTACTTTGAAGGGGACCACATTGATGAAAACGAATAAATAAATATTTTTTTGGAAAAACGATAATTCCGGGTACTTTTTGAACACACCTCGTATCTAGCTCTGCACCTGACTCTACCATATCGTTGACTTGTTTTGTATGAATATCGTTCAACGTAAGTTCAACACCTGGTATTACCTCTGAGAATCCTAGAATTACGTGGTAGAGTGGTTTTTTTCTATTACCGTAAGAATTCCATTCACCGGGCGCTGGTTCTTGTCAGGCCCTGGCGCGCCCTAGGTTTGCAGGGCTGCCTGTACGTTTTCCGCTAGTTTCTTTTCTTGTTCTTCACACCATGCTTTGTACTTGAGAATTAGGCAGTCGTTTACATAGTGTCCGGTTCTTTTGCAGTGCGTGCTATTGACTTGTGCATCATATGGTTTTTTTTATCGAATTTAGGTGGTAATGGCAAGTTTGGATTTCTAGGTCTCTTTTGTGGACTAGAATACGCCGGTGTAGACGTTAATTGGATGTATGTTCGTTGGGCTGGCTGTTGGTTTATGGGCTGCAGTTCGTTGTCCTGCTTGAGATAACCTACCACTTGTTGGTAACGATTTTCGTGACTCGTTTGCGCCATGTTTTTACCTGATCCGCTGAATTAGTTTTTCTACTTTTATTGCGTCGTTCAAGACTTCTTGCAGCATCGTCTCTTTCCGGTTTTCTAGTCGGTAGCGAAAACCAAAATGAAGACCGTCGTGAAACTCTTCTATGGTTTCGTTATCTTATTTTGCTTTTTTCATCAAGGACAATTGTGATTTTGTTTCATTTCTAATTGTATCCTATATACAATCTGATGTTAGTTATTCTATTAATGTAATATAGTATAGTCTCGCCACGTTCTTTTACTATCCCCGCGAGCTTGTCGCGAGAAGTGTCCACGCTGGTGCTAGCTGAAAACACTTGTCTTAACTGTGTCGAAAAATCTTCGAAGTTAGAGTTATCTAACTTGTTCATCGGGAGCTTGATTAATTCTGTTTGAGCCTCTGACAGTACCAGTCTCTGAAGACGGCGACAGCGCGTAAGAATTGTGTCAAGTTTGTCCGATCGAAAGAAGGCACTTTTGTAACAGTTTCTTTAATTGTAACTGAGATCAGTATTATTGAGCTTTGTTCGACAGTAATCTGGTTGGGCGTTATGTCCTGTCTTTCATAATCTACTAATGCTGCTTTAATATCAGCGAAGGGATCGGAGATTTTCGGTCTTTTCTATTCGGCTAATGGAGTACTTGGAGGAACCTGGAGAGGGAGAGTCTCTTGGATTTGAATTTGTACTTGTTGAAAAGTAATTTTTAATTTCTATATCTGAAGCAATGGTTTTTTTTTTATTTTCTTTCGAAAGAGCAGTGGATACCTGTTCTGCAATTTTCTTAGCTTATATCTTAATCTGTTATTCTTCGACTAGACGAACTGATTCTCGTTCTTCAAGTTCACGTTGTTTTTTAGACAGTCGAAATTACAGTTCCTCCAGTTGTTGCTTATTTATATCACTACTTTTATTCCTTTCAAATAAGCTTCTATTTATTTCTTTCCTATTTTTTTCTGAGAGTGACGATCTTCCATTACCGTTTTCTGATATTGCTACTTTCCTAAAACTGTTTCTGTGCGGATAAAAATCACTCTGTTGCAAAATTATATTTTTGTTTACTTGTAATCAATGAAATAAAATTTTCATTATTTACTATAATATAATTATAATTATAATAATATAATATAATATAACTATAATATAATTATAATTATAATATACTATAATTATAAATTATATTATAATATAATTATAATAATTATAAAGTAAATAAATAAAATCGAGAGCTGAAAGATACAGACAAAGCGTTAAAGTAAAATGAAAGAGAAATAAAGCCAATGTCACAAAAGACAGATTTTTAATTTTTTCCCAACAAGAGGTAAAATTTTATCGGACACTATAATAAGCATTAGTTTCTATTAGTTCCGTAGAATATTTAAAATTTTATTAGATCCATAAAATAATTAATTATCAATTAATTAATGAGTGTCCAGAACAACGGAGTGTGTCCAGTCCTCTCCGCAATCGAAAAAAAGCCAGCAATGGCCGCCCACTGGCGTGATAACTAATGTCACCGGCCAATGAGCTAATTACTCATTCAACTTAGCGAGTCTTTCCTTATCCTATTCAGCAACTCTCGCAAGAGCTTGAGAGAGGAAGACTATCTCTCTCCCACTCTCGCGATGTATTTTTGTCAAAAGCGCATATTATGTGAAAGACGTGTCTCTCACTCTCCGCGGGAAATGATATCGACGTACATGCACATTTTATCTGGAGGTTGATCCGTACTGAAGCTACCGAGAGCGAGGAATCGCGTAATTAACCGTTTGCATTAGAAAGACTGAAAGTCACACATAAACTGTTATTTCGGCATCACTTCAGCGTCCGATATCTAGCTTGCTTGGGACGTAACATATATTGTTAATTACTAATTAAATACTGATTTTTGAGCAATCCATCATCGCATTTAGTACTCTGTAGCTCAAAATATGTAAAAAGTACTTTCGTGAAGACCTTCATCAGCCAGGAAACCCCCTTGGACCTTAGACTAAACCGTGTTCTCTTTCACCAACGGTCAATGACTTATGTGCGTACGTGGCATTATAAAAAATCCGGTGATCTCGTTCTGCAATAGTATAAGAAACATAGCTTCTATCAGCGGTTCAACGACCGCTGCCCTTTTATATCAATTTTATTTATTTTTCCACATAGTATATTATACGTGAAGTGTATAATAACATTGATAAAATAATGGTATTATTGGAAAAACATAAGTTTCGTCACAGACAAAAACTTTTTATAAGGAAGCTGAGAATTTATCACCGGTGTAGAAAGTTATATTTTGATATGTCGAATTCAAATTCAAAGTTTACAGAAAGATCATTCTACGGTCAAATCTAAAATATTTCTCGCTGAACTTGACTTACATAATTTTATTATAAAAAAATGTGTAGGCGGTATAACAGGCTCTCAAAAATTGATAAGTAAAAACACAGTAAATTACTTTGAATCGTATATTATTCTTCATACAAATATTAATTCTAAAGAATGATAAAATTCAACGGAAGTTTGATGGCACCTTCGGAAGATAATATTTTTAATGAATGTGGTGGTATTACAATACAATAATATAATATTTTCTATCAGTTGATAATTTTTTGAGTATTTGACAATTAATTTTTTTAAATCATTAAGCTTATAATATATGTTTGCTCTGTCTTTCAATTACCGGATTCTACTATATTTAAAATTGAATCTATGGTATTTTCCATAATGATACAAGCTTAAATACTGTCAAAACAACTTTGTAAAATGATTAATCCTTGAGTGACTATTCTGTGCGCTGATTATCTGCTTACACAATCCATTCAAAATTTTGCATACTATTTGATCAAATATATCATTCATTTCTTTTATCGGATTTACATGTAAGCAAGTATTTTTTTTTAATAATCTTTGGTGTTATGTTATACATGATAAGACGATTATAACAAATATATTTACTTTATAATAATTCTTACTCTACAAAAAATTCAGGAAATTGATTGAGATAATTGCTTAAAAATGAATTGAATAGTAACTTTATATTACAAGATTGTATGGTTTATTTATTGATTTTATTTGATAATTATACTTGCTTCGATGAATAGTTGAATGATTTTATATTCGAGAATGTATATACCTATACAGGCAGACAATCAAATTACAAAACTGTTATTAAATTTAATAATTATTAAACAATGACGGTAGTATACTTAACCTAGAAATAAATAAATTCATGATATAATCTTTCTAATTATGACGTATGTGATAATTAGTAAGATATTTTATTACTATTATTTATTTCTGAATTAAATTTAGTATACTCTTGTTTAATAATTATTACTAGAGAATTTATATTATTAATTTGTTACAATATTCGGATTCGTGAAATAACTTCCTCTTTACCTCATTATCATTTATCTTCAACAGTAACTTACTTTTTAAAAAGTAATATATGAATAAAAATATAAAGATATTTCATTTACAAATACATGATTCTATTGATAAAAAATTGTTAATTTTACATTTTTTCAATTTTCTACCACATACTGCGAAATTTATGATGCAATAAAAATAAAAATAATGAGTTTAAGATTATTGCATGAGTAAGTCAAATAATGTTATTTCTATTACATAAGATCAGTAATTTCGCATAAGAATGGCTAATTTTAAAAAGAGCTCATTATTTAAAATGTTGTTGTTATCTTAGATTTGAGTTAGGCTTACATTTATTATTATTATTATGATCGACTACAGATCAATATCGAAAAAGTTTCGAAAATGAAATCAACCTCATTTTTTAAATGTCGTGTGAATTTTCTCCATTGTCAGTCCATCGATTCGTTAAATTACAGTTATTTTTCTGTCATGGCTCAATGTCATTAGCTTATGATTTTTGTCATGGAGCAAAAGTATAAGCTACAAAAAATGTTATTTGCAACAGTTATCAGTAAACAATAAATACTTCAGTGGTTGTAAAAAGTTTTAAGATAAATTTTTGTTGTCGATATGATTATGCAGATTTATCGTGTGTTTCTTGTACAGGCATCAAAAATTGGTAAATACGGTGAGTTCGTATTTTCATCATTATCTTCAATATACTTTAGATTTTAATATGGCGTAAACCTACTATATCCACCTCTATAGACAGTTGCCTGAAACAAACAATATTTTATTTATAATGAGAAATATATTTTGAATTTTTTGATATTAGCGATTTTAGTTGTTAGGTAATATTAAACACATACACATACACACACACACACACACTTACGCACATACACATACACAATATATCGTACTGATCATGAATTTCCGAAAATTTTGTGAAAAAGAAGCCATTCTTTAAACAAGAATATCTCCGATTCTATTGATCATAGAATAAAAATAAAGCAGGCAAATCAAGTAGAGGCTAAATATGAATTTTCTATAAAGTGCAAAAATTTTAGAAAAATTTTTGCAATTTTTAATCGCTTATATTTTTACAATATCGGTGATAAATAAAAAATTTTGATAGAGAACAAAATATCTTGATAAAATCTAAAGTTTATTACTTATGAACTTTTTCGCTACGATGGTTTTTATAAAAGTTACAAGCCATTGAATAACACCACTAACGGAAATTTAAATGTAGATGTATCCATTTTAAATGCACATACTCTCATTTGAATAACTCCTCTGGAACTGCAGAAATCGGAGAATAGTCATTACAAAAGTTCTAGGGTTTAGAGGAATGTGTTATATGGTGACCTTGGATTTGTCATTGAAATTAATTTTCAAGATCATGAAGATCAACTTTTTTACTATTAACAAGTGTGAAAAAATATAGTTAAAAGTTCCGGAATAAATTTGTATTACTAAATTTTGAATTTCACCTTTCATCAATTTTATTATAATTATTTTTTTATTGTATACGTCACTACTTTTTCACGATAAAACAATTATAATTCTTGTTTTTGCTGTTGTTTTTGTTGTTGTTGTTGAAATCTAATAAGTCTTATATTGGCCATTTTTTTTCTATTTTAGTTTAATGGAGGTGAATCTATTTAAATATCAGTCGGCATTTGATCCTTGAGGAGAACAGACGTGTTTGTGTTGCACTCTACTCGAAAAGTTAAAGTATTAGTCAATCAATCCTTGTTTGAGTTTTGTTATTACCGCACTGAATTAAATCAGTTGTTGTGCTGCATTTTGTGTTGTTTTTCCACTTAATCTGTTGTAGACTTGTTTTGTTGTGACTTTTGTGAGTGACAGTTGACAGTCTTATTGTTTGGTGCGTCAGTTATATCTGACAATAGATGTTTTTCGTGCCCGTCTAAGGGCCCTATCAACGTTAGTGATGCCGTACAGTGTCCGGGTTGCCGATCACTCTATCACAGGAGTTGTGCGAGCAAGACAGCCAAACTTTCTAATGGGTCATTTAAAAAGTGTTGTGGAGGACTTGAGATATCTTCGAGAGCATCATTGTTGTCTCCAGTGTTGTCTCCGATCATGGGTGCCGCGCAAGCCGGATTAGTGTCTAATCCGTCTCCGCCTAAGCCCCTCAATGACTCGCATTGCGAATCATGGGACGATGTTGTGAAATATTTCGATTCGAAATTGAACAGCATCGTCTCATTGATTTCTGGAAGGTGTGACGAGCTTCAGCGCGTGACGGATGGCCTTGTCGCGCGCTCTGATGCTATGGGTGCCAGGATGGGCGTCATTCAGCATGAGCTTTCGGTGGTCACTGGCTCCATTGCCTCACAATTTCAGGCGGTCAACCATTCTATCTCGGAGCAGGTCACTCGAGTTGACGACCACGAGGTTAGGCTGGCAAGGGTGGAAAGTTGTGTCGGCGAGTTCTCCACAAAGATTGATACGGTTACTCTCGCGAAGATGAACGAGCAGCGGAGAAGGGAATGTAATTGTATTATATACAATTTCCCCGAACATGTCTCGTCGGCCGAGGACACAGCGGCGGTGTCGGCGCTACTTGTGGGGGCGAGTATTGATGCTTTATTGCTCACCATTTTGCGCCTTGGAAAGAGGACTGAGGACAGGACTCGTCCATTGAAACTCATGCTTCGGTCTGCTGTTGAGGCGCGGTGGTTCTTGCGTCACTCACCGGATTTGCTTAAATCGGTGCCGAACGCGAAGTGTGGCCCGGACCGATCCGCTTTTCAGCGGCAGTTGTTACGTGAGACCATTGCCGACATCAATTCTAGAATGCAGGCCAGTGAGAAGAATCTCAAAATTAAATTTTTCAATGGCGTACCCTCCATCACCTCAACAAAAAACATATAAGTACAGCCGAGATACCCAATCTTCTTTCTATTTACTACCAGAACGTTGGTAGCATTAAATCATCTATCACTACTTTTATTAATAATGTATCAACATGTGCGCAAAAGTTTAATATAATTGCCCTCACTGAATCCTGGTTGGATGACACGGTGGATGATGCTATGCTGAGGATTCCCGGCTACTCGCTCGTGAGATTGGATCGCTGTAAAGTTCGGAGTGGCAGATCTAGGGGAGGTGGTATCCTCGTTTGGATTGAGAACACATGCTCCTTTGTAACAGTACATACCCTCAATTATGATTTGGAGCATGTGACTCTGAAGCTTGACTATGGAGCACCGCTACTTCTCTCCGTTGCTTATCTGCCGCCAGTTACGTCTCTCTCACCGGTGATATTCGAGTCATCTTTGGATTCCTTTTGCTGTTCTCTGGAGGATTCAGCTGCCAGATATCCTGAGTGTGCCGTTCTCATTGTGGGTGACTTCAACCTTCCCCGCTGCACGTGGTCGGCTTTTGATGGTGTGCTTTCATCTGATGCACTAGCAAGTAGGACTATTCGCGATTTGGCATCTAGATTGGAGAGTTGTACGAGCTCTCTTAAGTACGCTCAGTTGATTCGTTCAACAAATTGCTCTGGAAACACGCTTGATCTGGCATTTTGTAGTATTCCGGCGTCTCTCTGCACGGCTTTGGATCCTCTGGCACCATCGGACAGACATCACGAACCTGTCATTATTAATTTGAACTGTGTTGCAGTGGCTTCACCGAGCTCTCTACCATTTGATACTTCTGCTTCCTTCAACTTTAAAAAGGCAAATTATAGCAGTATTAATGCTGCTCTGGCGTCGACAAATTGGAATGATCTCCTTGGTGGTCATGAGTGGGACGTTGACTTGGCGCTTGATTGTTTTTACCGGAAATTATTCGAAATTATTAGCTGCAACGTTCCGCTTACTGGCTCTTTCACTGCTAGATTCCCGAGTTGGATGACAGACGAATTGAGAGCTGCGATTTCTCAGAAGAAGTTGGCCCACCGGATATTTAAGGCTTCTGGAGATGGTCAGGCATTGCATGACTTCAGGAGCTTCCGGACAATTTGCAAGCGTCTGATGTTGCGCGACTACAGTCAATTTATTAGTGATTCTAATACGCTGTCGGACATTTCTCTTGATATTGAAGAGGTAACTCAGGGCCTTGCTGGCCTGAAACCGTCATCTGTGGCCGGACCTGATGGAATCCCGTCAACTTTTTTTGTAAATTGTACCAATTGTTTAGCTCAACCGATTATGTATATTATGAATTTATCTTTACGATCTGGTACCTTTCCTACTGCTTGGAAACAAGCTTTTATCATTCCGGTGTATAAGAAGCGTGGTGACAGGAGAAATGTTTATAATTACCGTCCAATTGCCAAGCTCAGCGTGCTTTCTAAGCTGTGTGATCATCTGGTGTCCATACGACTTTCTCGTTTCCTTCTTCGTGTCATTAATGTCTCCCAGCATGGCTTTGTTCCGCGCCGTTCAACGGTTACTAATCTTGCGGAGTTCATTGAATTTCTTACGGACGCATTCGATGACGATCGGCAGGTTGATGCGATTTACACTGATCTTACCAGTGCGTTTGATTGTGTTAATCATCAACTTCTGGCTGCTAAGTTGTCGTTCTATGGTATTCATGGCCCTCTTCTATCCTGGTGCTCTTCATACCTATCACATAGAACCTACTCCGTTAAGCTCCTGAAATTCATCTCCTCATCTTATCTGGCTACCTCTGGGGTACCGCAGGGCTCGCACCTTGGTCCACTATTTTTCATTACCTTTGTAAATGATGCATTTTCCGTTATTCGTTCCTCCTGCATCTCTTTCTATGCTGACGACGCTAAAATTTTTAAAGTTATTACATCTAGGAATGATGCCGATGAGTTACAGCTGGATCTGCTGAGGTTTTCTGATTGGTGCTCAGTTAATGGGCTCTTGTTAAATACTGATAAATGTGCAGTCCTTTCATTTTCTCGATGTAAAGCGTCTTATATATTCGACTATTTTTGTATGGATCTTGCAATTGGTAGGGTGACGGAGTTTAAAGATCTGGGTGTATTGTTCGATCGGAGTTTATCGTTCACCGCTCACATTAATCAGTCCTGCTGTACGGCATCCCGGTCACTTTTTCTACTGTTTAGGCAATGTCGTGCCTTTAAGCGACCAGCCTCCCTCATTGCACTTTATAATTGTAACATTCGCTCTCGTCTCACGTATGCGTCAGTTATTTGGGCTCCACATTTTGACCAGCAATCAAAGTTGCTAGAGACTGTTCAGCATCGTTTTCTGCGTTTTTTAGCTAATAAATTTGGTCCACGTATGGATCCCTTCTCTCATGACTACTCTGCCATTGCAAACTCATTTCATATTAGTACCGTCACTTCCTTCATTAATTACCAGTCTGCTTTTTTCATTTATAAATTATGTCATAATTTCATCGATTCGATTTCACTCTCTAACCGTATCCTCTATATTGTCCCAGCACGCACTCTTCGTGCCCGTAATCATACCTTTTTCATCCGTTCACGTAGGTGGAATCTTAACCATTTATTAATTATTGATCGATCATGCCTCATTATTAATAATTTGTCAAATCCGCTGGATGTTCACTCAGTTTGCTTGGGCGCTTTTAAACGGCTTGTTCGTGCGAATACTGCGGTGTTTCGCTAGTGTCTTATTTTTTTTTTGTCTTTTCTTCTGTCACGTGACACCTCATCTATTTCTTCCCTTTTACCCACCTATCTTGGCTGCTTCTCCCTATCTACTTGTTAATTTTTGTTATTATTATTTTGTTTTATTATTATTTTTTATTATTCTTTTATTATTTTTTATAT